ATAGAGTGATACTCTTTTAAGATCCAAAAAATGGGGTTGTTGTAATGTGGTACATTTTCTGCATGATAGGAACTGAATTTGAAAATCGAGTTTTGTCTTGATTGTCTCAAAACTTGTCAAAACGCAACGAAACTTTATGGGTGTTCTTAAGGCATCCAAAACTACCTTCTCATGCAATTTGAAGCCATATTTACATTTCCTCTGAGGTCACCCAATGTCAGTTATATTTCTACAGTGTTCTCGTGGTATGGTGTCGTTTTTGGCACCGTCGAGGCCAGATTACTACCGGCTCTCTCTTTATGCGTCTCGGGGATTTAAGTACGTCAAAAATGATGTATAACACTAGACATTGGAGGTTGTTCGTCTCAAAGAAAGTATACCCTCGATCTCCTCAATGACATTGGAATTCTTGGAACCAAACCGGCAAAATCTTCCATTGAGGTTGGCCACAAATTGTATGATCCATTGTCAGCGCCTTTTAGTAATCCTGATGTATATTAGGGATTAGTGGGTAGACTTACTTATTTGACAATTACATAGCTTGACATTTTATATGTTCTAACCGTGGCAAGTCCTTCCATCACGTGGATGTTGTTTATCCTATTTTACGATTCTTGTAATCTGCTCCAAGGAGAGGGCTACTTTATATCGATCATGGTCACCTTTATGAACGTCTTTATGATGCTGATTAGGTAGGTGTTTTCTTGATAGATGACCTGCCATTGGCTACTTAATGATTGTGGGTGGTGACTTAGTCACCTGGAAGATTAAGAAGCAGTGTTGTAGCACAGTCTTCAACATAAGCCCAGTATCAAGCAATGCAAGTGCTACATGTGAAATTATTTGGCTCCGTTCTCTTCTTACGGAGATGGGTGTTAATGTGTCAGCTCGTATTTCTCTATATTGTGAAAATCTAGTGGCGATCTATATTGCTTCAAAATCTTGTATTTCATTAAAGAACCTTGCATACTGAAGTCGATTGTCAGTTTGTTAACGAAAAGGTCGCTTTGAAGACAATATGTGCTCCATTTGATCGATCTGGGAATCAATTGGTATACATACCAAGGCCTATAATTGAGTTGACCTACCTGTATGCATATGTACTAAGGCCTATAGTTGTCACAATCTTGAAACAGTCATGCATAATGTACCATAGGGATCTTTGTATGTAAATATGAAATAGTTTTAAGTCTTAGTTGGTCTCCAAAGCCCACGTAATTGAAGGTTCGAAGAATAAAAATCCATGGGCAAAAAAAGGAATCAAAATTGAAGAAAAGAAAGAAGTGAAGAAAGAAGAAAAGAAGGATAACAATGTTCCAAAAGCAAAGTCACCTCAAGACAAGGGTAAGAAATTCGTGGTATCCTATTTATGTGGTAAAGCCAGCCATGCGCAGAAATTTTGTAGAATTTGAAAGAAGCAGCTGGGTCATGCCAACAGGGCAAAAGAAAGATTTGTTGCATGATCGTGAAGTTAATGCGTTATGGGGCATTACAGAATGGTGGGTGGACTCTGGAGGCACCAGACATGTTTCTAATAATAAAAACATATCCATGAGTTCTAAAATGGTGGGCAGGAATCCGTCAAACTTATTTTACATAACGAAAAAGGCAACTCTTATTTTTTGCTTATTGTTGATTCCTTTTTCTTCATGGCATGGTAGATTGAGTCATGTTAGTTGTCATGGTTTGAAGAAAATGAGTACTTTAGGCCTTATTCCCAGGTATAAAAATCTGGAAAATACTTTGTGTGATGTAGTGACCTTAATTATCATGTTTTGAAAAAAATGAGTACTTTAGACCTTCTGAAGTAAGAAAATTTCAATCAAAGATCATAAGGCATAGTGTTGTTTGTGATCGGAGAGAAATACATGAAAGAGTATGGATATGTATAATTCCAAAGTATAAATTCAAAAAATTTTGTCTTTATTAATAACTTGTGTTTTCTACATACAATTGCCACAATACAATGCATAAATAAACCTATTATAGTCGAAGATCTTTAAATCTTATTGCCAAAATAAACTTTATTCAAAGAACTGAATTCAATCTTACAATAAGTAATTCTGAAACAAATACGAGTCAAGAACGAAAAGTAAACAAAATATGGAAGACTTACTAAATCTTTGCCTAGGGTTACCCCCTTAGGACTTAGCCCACCCCATACTCGATTAGCAAATTGATGGTGTACTTGTTCATTTGGTCCAATTCCATCCATTGAACCAAGAAAAATCTCTGGAATAGTCTATCACTAAACTATGGGTTGAGAGCATAGGTTGTAACAATTGAGGTTTCTTAGGAGCCCTTTTTAAACTTTGGGCCATGGCATTGTGTGGCACCTCCCTTGACCTACTCTAGGATTGGTTTTTATTTTCTCTGTGTTCTATGTGGTGCGTGCCACCCCTTGGTCTTTTGGGTGGTGTATGGCACCTCAGAGAGAGAGAGAGAGAGAGGTATAAGAAACCAAGGTACTTAGAATGCGGAGGCTTCCCTCATTATATAGGCATTAAGGGCCCTAGGGTGTCCTATTTAGATTAGGATTTTATTTGACCAAAGTATTTTGTGGTAATCTGTGAGGTGAGAGAGAAACAAATCAGATCCATCCATCCCTAAAATTAGCCATCATGCTTTGGGAAGGAATCCATCCTAAATCTGTGACCCATATCCACTTCTAGTCAATCTAGAATAGGACCAATCATACCTCAACTCCTATTTTGACTAGAATTTCTTTTTTCTCACAAAGAGATTGTTGAAATTCAAAGTTAAGAGAGTCTTGGTCCAAATTCAAAGATTGAAAGAATATTCAATACATCCACAATTTTCTCACAATGTCTTTCCTTAAGATTTTTTCCAAAATTTCTTGTAACAAACTAAATATTTGCCAAATCTTAGTTGATTCCCCACGAGATCTTCCAAATTATTAGGAAACATGTGTGGCATGTGGCCCATGTGGGCTCGAAGTCCCACCCCGTGTGTTCCCAAATATGATGGGGCTGGATCCTTGGGCACCCCACATGGGTTCCACTCCCCTATAAGTTCTAGAATTTTTCAAAACGCCCGAGCGTTTTAAACAATTTAAACAAATTATGAAAGTCTGAAAATATTAAATAACACATGAAAATAAATAAGTTCAAAACAATATTTCTGAAGTTTTAGTTTTTTTTTAAAACATTCTGAAATATCTCTAGAAATTGATCGGTAATAGGTCGAAAAAAGTGATTGTTAAGGCACATCAGCAGAGCCAGGATTTGTGATCCACAACTATCTTCTCAAACCAACCCAGTGGGACTCATGACCCACAGTCAAAGCTGGCCAATAAATAGTGAAACCACTGTTCTAGTATGTGAATTAAAGGTTCCCCTCTTATGAGCAAAGCCAGATGCACTTATCACTATAGTAAGGGTGGCAACAGGTCGGGTTCCAGTAGGGTCGGATCAAGACTTGAACCCGAAAATCATTTATGGGATTTGAACCCTGACTCAGACTTGAAGTTATCGGACTCGAATTTGGACCTGACTGAACTTGATTCAAAAAGGAAAAAATTATATATCATCATCATCATTGCTTTTTCCCAAATAATTGGGGTTGGCAACACGAATCTTGGTTTGCCATTTTGCTCAATTAAAGTCCATACCCTCAATGAGGCCATATGTCAACCCTGACCCGGACTCGAATCTGGACCTTACTGGACTTGATTCAAAAAGGCAAAAAAATTATATATCATCATCATCATTGCCTTTTCGCAATTAATTGGGGTTGGCAACACGAATCTTGGTTTGCCATTTTATTCAATTAAAGTCCATACCCTCAGTGAGGCCATATGTCCCCATAGCTTTCCGAATTACTTCCAACAATGTCCTTTTGGTCCTAACCTTTATCTTTTTAAATCCTTCCATTTGAAGTATTTCACACCTCTTAATAGGTGTTGTACTTGGTCGGCACCACACATGGCCAGCTCACCTAAGTCTACTCTCTTTGATCTTACCGTCTATTGGTGCCACACCTAAATTCTCCCGATTGAGTTCATTTTGATTTCAAACAAATATATATATATATGTATAAATATTATATTAAATATTTACATGTATTATTTAAATATGGAAAAAGTTTATATAGAGCCGAGGCTCTATACAATCAAATTTGAGCCTACCTCTAAATGTTTACTAGAAGTAGTTGTTTTGATACCCAAATATCAACAAATTGATCATCTCGACATCAAGATGCATCGACATGAAAAAAAAATTGTGGTCCCAAAACTATTATTGGAATTTGGCCGCAATATTAGAAAAGCTATGATTTTAAAGATCTTCAAAAGTGCGACTTGAAATTCTTTTGACTCAATTTTAGTTAGGGCGGTTGTTTCTTGTGAATGAACTCACCGGTACCGAATTATATCTTGGAACCTTTTGAGGTTAGCGGCATTTATCACTTCGAGAAAGCGAGTTTTTTTTGTCCAGATATCGATCTATCAGCCTCCCCAATTTTTTGAAACAAGATCTAACTTCCATTGACTTTTGAATTTTATACTCATATTTGACTTTTGCTTAGGGGAATTCAGACAAACAAATTTGATTTAACAGTAAGTAAAACCAACTTGTTTGAGTATGGTGTAAAAAGGTAAACAACGCCTGTTGGGCTGCTTTTTGGTTTTTTAATTTTCTGCAAAAGAATACCCTACTAAAGGGGTGGTTATCAGAAACCACCACCTTATATTACATACTGGTTCTTCTTAAGGAGAGAAGAATATTAAAAGAAATAATGAGAAAACTGCGTTGCATATGTATAAGGAGAAACCGATATGTTTCTAGTTCAACTGGGAAATATAATGGCTGAGGGTACTTTGAAATCCATTGCCATCTTCTTGTAATTTTTTTTCTGCCTTAAATCTGTGTTAGTTAATCTTACTCGTTTCTCCATTTGTTTGATTTGAACCGTCTGTTTTTTTTTTTTTACCATGAAGTAAAGTATCACTATTCCTGTCAGTCGTGACATCTGCATTTCAGGTAGAGAACCAAAACAAACTCAACAGAGCACGGTTGGAGTCCCTAAATGAGGGATGCGAGAATCTTTATGTTGCTGCAAATGTTCTTGAAAAGGTCTCTCTTTCTGTTTCTCTCTCTTCAACTTTTAGATTGATAGTGGCTACTTCATGAAGTATTGTCCTGATTCAGTGAAGCTCTAGAATTTGTTGTCATGAACAAGTTTAGCTTAGGTTGTTTATGAGTGCGCTACTAATGGTTGCTTCTGTTTCTTTTAACTTTGCAGTGGAACTATTCAAATGTAGAATATGGACTAATGCGGGAGGAGTGGAAGGTGTCTTAAATGAAGTTAAAAACGCTCACTGCAGAATCCTGCACCCTTGTTCTTGTAGTATCCATAGCAGTCCTGTCTATAGATGATTTGTTAATTCAGCTACTGTGGTCTTCCTTGTTAAACAAGCAGTAGAACTATGGTTCCAAACATATAGAGAGAGAGAGATTGAGCTTTTTTTGTTAGCTATAGCATGAGTCCATAAAGAAACGTTGCAGGTATGTTTCAGAATGTAAAGTACAGTGATTTCCTGCGCTCGAATTGTTGTCATTCCAGCTCTTTGTAATTTTTGTTATTGTAGTTGACAATGGCTAGATGGTTTTTCCATCCTTTAAACCCTTGGAAAAATGAATATTGTACGTTTTTTGTGCGTGAGAGAGAGAGAGAGAGGGAGAGAGAGAGGGGAGCATCTTGAATAAATCGGTGGTAAGATAGTGTAAAATAGCTGTACATCTGGATCAAAGTTTCAAAAATTAGCTGTTTGAGTTGGAATGCAAAAGTGGTACTAGGACTGGCAGGTAGCTGGTATGATCGCGTCGAACTTGGGATTGAGCCATATTAGCTTAAAAATTGTATAAAAAATATTCTAGTACTGTTGCTTTTAGAATTAATAAAGGTCCTAAACTTATTTATACATTTTAAAGTTAATTTTTATTTTGTTTACATTTTTGTCTTTTTTCTCTTAAATTGGCCAAGATAGCGGAGCCTAGCCACCAACTTTGCCGATTGTACTCGAAAACCAGCGGGTGACAAGTTTGACCCACAAGTCTGATATTTCAAATGACAAATCGAATATAGTTTGCTATTTTTGCCTTTTGAAATCATTGAATTTTGAAGAACTTGTAATGATAAATGTTTTGTGTTTTATTGGGACTTTAGGTACCCTCTCACTTGAGTTACAATGGATTTAAGAATTTCCATGAATAAACAAAGTTTTAGTCCCTTGTTTCGGTCGTTGATATGGTGTAGTGTGGTCCTATGGCAATGGACTTGCTAATTAAACGGTGGGTGGACCTAGACCATTGAACTCAATGGGGTTGTGAACTAAGTAGGACTACCCAATTCATAGGGGCCTAGCCTTGATCATCCAACTCAATCAAGAGAAGTGATATGCCAAACTCAAGTGGTGAGATCCAAATCCTCGAAAAGAGGGGGATGGTGATAACTGATTGTACAATTGATTATTGTTCTTTTTTTTTTATGCATCTCTTATAGGATTTCGTTATAGAGATGAATTTTTATTCATTTGATGTGCACGGAATATGTGAACCAAAAAGCACTAGAAGATCTCGCCTTTTACGAAGAAAACTATAGAGAGATATGCCCAATACAATTTTCTTTGAAGTTATGTTAGGGTACTCCTACGCATTGCTATTTTCTTAATGCACTCTAGCATTTGTTGATGTCTATTGTCCTTATTTTATATACAAAGTTTTTCCAGCGAGGGCATTTTTTATCAATAGGAAAGGTAGAATATATATTTATCTAAAAAACTAGTAGCATTCTATTTGTGGTGAAAACTAATTAGTGCTCGATATAGGTGATGTCATACTTTATGTAGATGTATATAGGTTAGAATTTCATGATTCTCAGCGTGAGCATATTTGATAACAAATAATTTTATATATGGAAATTCGAAGTTTTAGATTTTATAGGTCTTCTATATTCGTTAACAAGTGCTCCAAGAAATTCAACTTTAAGAGGTTTGGGTTATCAAAAAGGAGAACCTGTTGGTTGATGTTCACTTGTTTTGTTTTTGGCCGTCCATAACTGTGCCCTCTATTTAGCTTTTTTTAACTCCTTTCTAAAGGACAAGCTTTTTATGCTTTCCCTGCAGCATAAAACTTTTATTATATTGCCCCTGTCCAACCGTTCATTCTAATCGGATGGCTTAGATGGCCCCAATCACAATGTCACCCTTTAGACCTTTTTATTTTTAATATATTTTATACAAATGGGCGTTTAATCATCTCTTGAACTCGCACCTATTAAAACTTTTAAAACAATATTATCAATAAAATAAAATGATTAAAATATCCCTGACAGTTTTAGGGGTATTTTGTTCTTTGTATTTTTATCAATATCATTTTATAAGTATTTATTTAGGTGCGCCCCATTGAAGTGATGGTGCTTACTAAATTTCATACATATAGTTAGTGAAAAAAAAATTATAAATAAAATACTCTGAGACATCAGATCTAGATTAATTGATTAGTAGCTCGCTTGATTTTATTTGTACCCCTGGATGATGCAGTAGAAGAATAGAAGCCCTTGCCATTGTAAAACCATGCCATTTCTCTCTAGCTGTACTCCTTCTCTCCTACTTCTTTCTATCCTTATATGAGTCCTCTATTTTTCGAACTCCTTGATCTGTATTAATGCCTTTTCTCTCACTCTCATATGCCTTTTCTTGCTAACCACTCCTTTTTCTCTCAGCTCCTCTTTTTAATAGTGTAATTT